GCCGCTTGCTCCAAGCAGACACCCGCTTGCAGCCGCACCTACTGGTGAACAGACGCTGCAGACTTCAGTGAGCCCTTAAACCGAATAAGTCAGAGTGGCCCCACCGAAGCTCCCTCTCTTTCTGCCGTGACCCAAGGCTCCACTCGGATTGGTTACCGCATCTCGCACATGGGTTGCTCACGTTGCCCAGAGTGCGCGAACGAGGACGCAAGAGTCGGGATTGAGTATAGCCATGCAACTGTAACTGCATACCCAGCGCAATGACTATACCCCATTGCACTCCCTACACATATACATAAATGCTGTAGACAAAAAGCCATGATGAAAAAAAATCATCTCGACTAATTTTGGTGTTTTTCTTATAAAAGAAAATCTGCGGTTTTATTGAATCACCCTGTTTTACGCATATGCATGCGCTGTGTACGTTTGTGTGTAAATGAACTCACTGGCAAATCAATTCGAAAAGAATTCATCGCCACTGGGCATGGGAGTCATAATTTACATACGTCAATTCACTACTGTAATGCATGCATTTTACATGTTTTTTTTTATCAATGCATATAAATACATACATACATACAAACACATGTACAGTACACGAACAGCTTTTCATGCGTTTACGCTTGTAAATCTAGTCATATTATGCTGCCACAACTTTTTTTTTCTACGCTACTGATCACTGGAAGTGGTGAAAATAGAGACTTTTGCGAGTCGTTGAATACGTTGAAGATTACTTGCATATTCTTTACAGACCGCGTAACTTAATTGAATTATACGCTTTGGCGCACATTTGAAGTTTACACGATCGGCGATCATGTCGCGCCGCCGCGCTGTTGATGGTTGCGCGTGTTGCGTATCGCACACCTTTATGTCGGTCTATATATACATACATAGATGTACATACATATCTATCTATTCACTTATGTATGAAAATGCATTCGTGCTTAAGCATATTCGTACAATTTTGTGGCATTTGCTTTATGTACGCTTTCCCTGCAACAAATTCCAAAGGTTCATACTTTTTTCTACATTCGAATGCAGTAACGCCAACGATGTGGCAGCAACGGTAATGTCTAGGTGATGCAGCCAGCGCTTCGTACTTAGAGACGTTACTTATAGTCACGATGCTTAAGTCATGTTAATGTTTTTCCACTAAATTATTTATGCCAATTAAAAGTTTCGACAAAGTTTATTCACCGTGAAGCGTTTTTCTTTTTTTTTTGTGTATTGCTCTCTGACGGTATTAGTTAGCACGCTTTCATAGTAGTTATAACAGCTTGTAGGTTTGGTGCGACTATTAAATATGCTTTTAGTTATTAATTTTTATAATTCAGTATTATTGACTTATTGCGCAGCATAGGACTTCTCACTGCCATGTGCCATAATAAATATTGTCTTTAAATGCACTCAGATTTAAATCTTTTCGCATAAAAGTTGTTTTTATTATTGCATTAAAGAAGTAATTTAACGTTAGATTTTATAGCGTGGCAAGCTTATAAAATATCGTTTGCACTTCTGATGGTTTTCTACTCATCCTTTTGCCAAATAGCTGCAGTAAAAAGTATTTATTCTTGAACATGTGTGGTTTGTGTTTTGTTTTTTTTTTTGCTGTGAACTTTAAATTTTGCTTTCATTAAGCCTGTTTTATACTGCATATATTTACTCGCACATATTTTCCTTTAATATGTCTGCTTATCTCTTGCGTGCTTTGATTTCTTTCCACTCTGACTCTGTGCTGGCAATTTAATAGCCATTAGCGTTTATTATTCTTTGTCGCCTCACTCACTTAATATGCGACACCACGCCTAAGCAGGCTTTACGTTTACTACTGACTTATAAGAGCTTAATATATATTTACATGTGTATATACGTATTTAGGAATGTTGTCATAAAGCAAGTAACTCGGTGCTCATTCTTCTATATAAAAAAAATATTTCAAAACTTGCATGCTTTTTTCTCATTGCTTATCGAATGCGTCCTGCCACCTTCGTCGTCTCTTTTTTCCTCCATTCTCATGTAATTTGGAGTCGGTCAAATGTGGAGGCACATACATATTTACATAGATAGGTATGTAGATATGCGACTGTCTTACTTAAGCTCCGCCTATCAACCACTTTATGGGAGAGTCTACGGCGGAAGCTCCTCGCTATTTTACTTGGGTACACTTCCTTCGTACTTTATTTTGATTTAGATCACAATATTGTGTACATAGAATTTATATTAATCTATTTGTTTTGAATAGTCTCGATGGAATTTCGCTGCGTGCGACTAGGTTGGGTTGTACCGTAGATAAATAGGGAAAAGTGCTGTTGTGTATCCTGTTTGAAGTTATTGCAGTGGGTAATGGAATTATTTTTCCGCTTTAGATAAAAATTCATGCAGTTTTTAATGGTTATTATAGCTCACTCATAAAAGGTGTACACTGGATGTGCGCAAAGAAATTAACACCTCATGCGAAGCGAATGTGCATTAGGGTGGCCCAAAAGAAGCTAGGATTATTCTATACCGAAAAAAATTACATCCTTGTTTTTTTATTTTGAAATAAAAAAATATTTAGAGATCGCTCAAAGCGCTCAAAGTTTTCCATGTATCTCATGTAGGCATGGGAAAACCCACTTTTCGTAGAAATGGTATGGAATTCTTTCAGAAGACTTCCAATGACAATGCCCAGTTGTTTATTTAACCCTTTTCAATTATTAATTATTTTTTATAGGACCCCTAAAAACCTCAAATGGGTCCCCCATTGCATTTTTTATTATTGCTTTCATATTCTATCGCTCTAAAGCTAAAGTTAGTAAATTTTCGCTTTGCATTTTTGTATTAACCTGTTTGTGCCCAGCGGTTATTTATTTGCTATCAACGTGAAAATTCAATTCATCGGCTTTAGAAATAAAATTAAAATCGTTTTGCAATTCCAAACCTTTATGATGGAACACAATCGCTGTAGTTGATCACAAATCAGTCGCGGCATCTTGTGGCGTCACTGACGCCGAGCTTCCTGTTGCATTGCCTTTGTTGTTGGGCCGGTCTTGGTCGCCGGGCGGCATAAAACAAAATTGATATACGCATCTCCTGTGTGCGCTGCCACTTTGCTGCGAAGTAGTCGCACGTCGCCTTTCTAAATTTAGCAACGCATTTTGCAAGCCGCATTGAAGCTCCATGTACAGTGCGCTGCATTTTGTTTTGGTTTTTTTTACTTTTATGATTTGTTGTGCAGTTTACGCGACTTGTTTTATAAAAATGCAAAACGCGTTCTTCGCAGTAGCCGATGCAGTTGCGCGCCGCATTTGGATTTGTAAATCGGTATTTTTGTTAAACGCTAGGTAATTTCTTAAAAAACGCGTAAAAAACAAAAAAGCAATGAAGACTGATGGCTTGCTCCATACGAACATGCATCGATTCTTCCGATCGATCGTTGCGCTTAGACGTAAAGGTTGCTCAGCTCAGATGATCGCAATGTCACATACATAAATACTCTCGCAAGCGGCATGCCTACATACATCATGCTTCGTCATGAAGCGGCTGTGGGAGGGGTATGCCGGTTTTGTGTGTTCGCCAACGCTTTCTGCCTAGCGTTGACACACACGCACGTCTGGACACTGGCAATCGAGTGTGCCAATAGATTTATGTTTGAAAATTTTTATGAAATAGCTCAGATTATGATGGATGTGTCTAAGCAAGTTATTAGCTTGTCACAAATTGAGCAATTAATTAAGCCACACATTAACAAAATATCTGCGTCAATGCGTTTTGTCATAACTTTTAAATATTAATTATTTTTTCACGTTCCTCTTTCTTTTTTCTATTCTTATTGCAGTTACATCAGCTCAGAGTCGCATTTTCAAACACCTCGTAAGTTGCATTTAAATCGCCACCATTGCTCCCCAACCAGTAAGCAGTACAATGAATGGTCAAAGCTATGAGCTGAACCATACGAACGGTGATATTATATCACAAAATCAGCAAAAGGGCTGGTGGACAATCGGTCTCATCAATGGCGCACACAGGTACATGACGGCCGAGACATTCGGTTTCAAATTGAATGCGAACGGCGCAAGCCTGAAGAAGAAACAATTGTGGACATTGGAGCCATCGAATACCGGCGAAAGTAAGTACAAAAATCACTAGTAATTTAAAGAATTCCCAGAAAACGAAGATGGCTTTCTGAAAACCTATGCATTTTTTATTAAAGAAAACTAGCAGGTCTTAAAAAACTTCCACAACAAAGTTTAATGCTGACACACAAGCAGGGTATGTTGCTTCGACCGTTGCCTGGTGTGTAGCATTGTTGCTCATATCGTCGCTTAGATAAAAAAATTTCGTATGTTATTTTCGGTAGGTTTTAGGAAATCGTGATTGAATTAGTTTGAAATGCAGTTTCTTAAAACCACGACTATAAATTTTCTCCGAAGTCTCGAGTACTAGGTCATGAAAATCCTTAAATAATTTTTATTTTTATTGTTTATTGTTAACCATTTTTGAGTTTATGATGGAGTTTCTTTGGTAAAATTTTGTTTTATGCGACATTTTTCAACAATTTTGCAGCCACTTTGTATAGCATACGATAAAATGTGATAGAAATTTGTACTAAATTAACTATACCTTTTACTAAATATCGCGGAACTTAATTTATATTAAATTACCTGTAAAATTTTAGTCAATATCTCGGAAACTAAGAGAGATATCCAAAAACTGTTAACACAAAGATCTTATTTTAAAATATTTATACTTGTATCTATAGCTAAAAATCGTCAAAATGGCACATACGAAAATCTTTTATCCAGGCGACGATATGTACACTGGTGGCCCGAAAAGTAGAAATAATTTGTCTTTACCAGTTTTGACAATTTATTTTCTCTTTGTTATCTAGTTTTAATTAATTTTTTTTACGAAAATATAGTTCATGCTACAACGAAAACCATAAACTCAAAGTTTTAAACTTTGTACAAGATTTATAATAATTCGACGAAACTCCATAGAAATCATGTCCGAAAATATTTTTATGAGCACCACCGTCCGCTAACAAAATTCTCAAAAATTATACTAAAATTCAACGAGCTATAAAACTGTACACCCGATTTGTTTAGAAATTCTAAATAAAAAGTTTGAAATTTTGATGCGCAGTTTTTAAATTCGTCGAATTATTAGAAATTTTGTAAAAGAGTTAGAGTTAGTTTTGTTAGAGTTATATAGTTTACGTTTTAGCATGAACTTTATTTTTGTAAACAAGATAAATAAAAGTATCTAATAAAGAAAAAATAAATGGTCAAAACATATAAAATCAAATTGTGTCTAATTATCGGGCCACCAGTGTACGTAAGTACACACTCCAAGTTTGGGAGTAAGTGAGTGATGCTTTAGTTTTATTTTTATCCGATTCCACCCGCCTTGTTATTCTACTAAATATGTACAGGATTTCTATGACCCTTTAAAATTAAAAAAAAACGGGCATAATTAGAGATTTGTCGAAAAAAGTGTTTCTTCCGGACCCTGGCTGATGCGGTTTATCGGCAGGCTGACATTTTATTTTATGGTTAACTCATCTCATGGAGCAAAACAAAAACGGTGAACCAGCTCGATTGATGTCGGGATCATTTAATCAAAGGCTTATAAAAAAACAGTGGCATCAAGTACAGTAAACCTTCCACTTACGGAACGTAAACCTTTCGATATACGGACGCCACCCATATCATCAGATGAAAGTCAAGTACTAAGTTTTCGATGCATTTTTCGAACAATTTTTTACGTAGAGGAATTACGCGTTGTAAAAGGCGAAGACTTGAATCCAGTTTTTGTTCAGGATGAGTGGCAAAATTAAGTCATATGCTGAGGCCTAAAAAAACATATTCGTTGCATACAAACTTTGCATTCATTTATAAAATTGCACTAAACTAATAGCTAATTGTATAAAATTGTATATGTTTAGCTTTAACTTTTTGTCTACAGTCCAACATCTCCCGCCATAGAAAGGTTTCACTGTAACCTTAATACATATTATTAGCAAAAGTGTTTCCTGTCCGCATATTATTACATTTAATGGATTTTTCTTTTAAGGATGGGAGCATGAATTTTATGTGCATTAATGGATACCTAACTGTTTATTAACAGCTGTCTTTTTTTCTGGCGGAAATTGCATAAAGCCAATTTTCTATCAACTTTTCTTTTCTGCCAACTGCTTCACAAAGGTGTTAAAACAAATTTTACACTAAATGAACAAAATCATGCGGTGGCGCTTCCACCTGGCCCCAACCAAGTCACCATGTTGATTCTCATTATTTCTACACTTGCAGTGTCATTTTGCACTTTGTTGCCATGCAACACATGGCAAACATAGCGGAAAATAGATTAAGAAGCAAGCAGCTGAGAACTATCAGATTTATTTGTTGCAAACGCAGTTGACCGACCGCTTTAGTTAGTTTAGTGTTGACCGAGTTGATTGCTTGGCACTAAAAAGTTGTTTGTGTTGTGTGGAGTAGCTGTTTCGCTATATAGACGGACGGCTACTGTTCGTTGGTTCATAATTTATAACGTGATTGTGGAAAAAGGTGGCAGCCCGTAACGGCGACCGCCAGACTTATGTGTGTATGTATGTATGTATGTACGTCCAACCGACTGCGTGCATTGTTTGGCGAGTCGCAGCGAAATTGTGGCATGCCACATGGTCGTCGTGGCGGGGTGGTACAGACAAGAAGCGAATGAGTACAGCAGCGCACAACAAATGGTTGATGTGAAATTAATATTGCAGCTGTGTGCAGTGTGTTGCACTGTTGTTATC